AAAGATGACGATGGTAGCACACTCATCCAGGTGTCACTGTCATCTTTCTATTCTCCCTTGTGACCTTCGTAACCTTCTGCAATTCTCGTACAGCATTTCCCGTGGTATTCATGCTACCTCAAACATTTCCTCCTTCAAAAGGGAGCTCCTGCGACCCCATCTCTATAATCCACAGATCGTTCCTCACCTGTAGGTTCAACTCACTGCACATTCTTACCAGTCTCTCGAATTCTTGTCTTGGAAGTTTACAGATCCAATCGGGAGTTACCAGCTGGAAGTTCTTTGGTTGTAATATCCTGACTTCTTGGGTGAGTATTCTTATCCTCTGCACTATCTAGTAGGTTCGCGTCCCATTTTGATGAGAGTGCCCTTGTAACTCCTGCTTTATTGATGCAGCCGTCTGGTTTTCCTGGGAGGCATGAACATAATTTCTGAGTCTTCTGTAAGCATTCACTCGTTGTCCCTTCAGAACAGCTGGATCCGTGACCACCGAAAGCAGCCCTGCTACGTCATGATCAAGCATAGCTCCTGTCAGGTCATGCATTTCTGCCAGTGCGGCTACTATATCCAAGGCATATGGGAGCAGTACATCGTTCTCTTGTGGTGCTCCTTCGTTATTCGAGGATTCTACCAAGTTTATTTTGCACCCTTCCACCAGGTTTATTTCGCATCCTTCCACCATCAAATATGCTCCAGTGCCGTTTATCATGAGTTGTGCCTCTCTGGAAATTTCGTTTAGTTCTCTACGCAATCTGTTGACTCGTTCGAGAAAACCTTCAGGAAATTGTAGGTGGGTCATGTTGAATATTTCAGTGGTGACAAGGGAAATTTCATGCTTTGCTCTTAAGTTCAGGTGTCCTCATGCACAATTATTATCTCCTGTCATCTCACGTGAGATGAAACCCCCCTTTATTTGTAGGACTTTAAACGGCTCCCATGTACAGGTCAATCGTTGCGTATTTCCCCACTTGTGGTTCGTAATATGTACGATCCATTGCCCAGGACACGATGGATGAAGTAAGGTCCCGTCCACCTGTTTCGAAACTTGTCGCCGTTGTTACTAGTCGACCTTTTGGACTAATTTTATTTTCCAAAAGGCAATTTACAACTAGCAACTCGTAAACAGTTA